TAAAAACGTGACCACCTTCAACAGGTGAAGAGCTTTCGTTTTCGTTTTAGCGGGTTTTTATCCTTATTAGCAATTCAATTTTTTTTATCTGAAGCTTACACTGAACGGAAGTGTTATTCCTATTCGAGGCGGTAAAGATAATGTGAAATTCGTCCTAATCTGCCCATTTTTGATAGATAAACGTTTTGGCCCTGTTTTTACGGTTTTTTAAGAGAAGGAGGCCAGGGAAGATGACAGCGCAGTTCGTACCCATCAGACAAGCACACCTTTAATAAACTTACAACAATACTTAAAACTCAACAAACTGAATACAAATCGCCGACTGTGGAACGCGACAAACTACTAGAAATGATGAATGATGGAGTGAGTGCGGTGTTCAATCCTTTTAAAAAGATAGTTCCTACACACAGTAAAGTTGTTTTTCAACGATACGGATTTCGAGCTTTAAGCTCATCATCAGGTTGAAGGAATTCTACAACCACGTCTCTCGACATAGATTGCAAAGGTGAACCGCCGATTAAATTAATTAATTAAATTATTTGGACGTTTAGTATTATTTATGCACATATTCAAAATGGGAGGTAGATCAAAATCTATTATATTATTAATCAATTTATCTCCATGTTCAATTTTACATTTTTTAATTTCAAAATTTTCAAACCAATCTAGTTCTCTCCCTTTGTTGAAACTATGTACCACTGTTGTATTTAAATTTGAATTGAAATTATGTTTCGCTTCTTTTAGATGGTCCTTAATCCGAAAAAAAATTCTATTTAGGCAATAATATTAAGCGTCAAAATAATTAAATAATGTGTGGTGATTAGTGACCGTTAATCGATATTTATTTAGAAATCGTGAGATGCGGTCTGGTGTGTTGTAGGTTTCAGAAAAATATTTTCTTTATCGTGCCAACGTTTCGATCTTTATTGAGATCATCTTCAGGGCCTGGGATTTACAAACATTGTTTACATATAACAATTACATTTTGGATGTGGAAAAGTGAATTTCACTTTTAATTATTATTCGTCACTCTCAACACGATAGACAAGAATGACACATCTACATGGAAAACAAACACTTTGAGCCCTGAAGATGATCTCATTAAAGATCGAAACGTTGGCACGATAAAGAAATTGTTTTTCTAAAGCCTACGTCACACCAGACCGCACCTCACGTTCTCCAAATAATCATTGGCTAACACAACACGTAATTTATTAATTTAACCCCTACAACCCTTTATATATCCGAGATTTTTACTTAAGAAGAAAGTCTTAAGGAGGGAGAATCAAATAAAGATTTTCAAAAATCTTCTCTTTATATTTCGCAAAAGAGGAAAACCAGTGAAATTAATGTGCAATTTGGCAGAGTTATAGAGCATTTATCTTCCTCTTACTTAATTACATCTCCCTTCAATATTCTGAACGAACGAGAAGTTCTGTATAAAGGGATAGACATTATAAAAGACAGGCACATGAGAACAATTTGGAAATGTTTCAATCAAAGTCCATTGTGTATCCATTTTTTAGAAAAAGGAACCATGTTCAAACGTCATGCTAGATGGACTAAGTTTTCAAATTCACCCGTGAAGTTTTAGAATTCAATTTTGCTCAAAAATGGTTTTGAAAAACATAAACGAATAGAAAAAGTCGAAAATGTCAGATTTTTTCTGGGTTCTCAGCCTCAATTGAGATTTTATAGGAAATCTCGGCTGACATATTTCTACGTCCTCTGACATGTTTTACTTTCTATTAGAAAAGGTTACGTTAAGGTTTGTGGGCTATACCACGCTCCTAGGAGAAAAGCTTCTGGATTTGATCTCATTAGACCTAAAATTCTGAACCGTTGACCGACAAAAATTCCTCAGGTCAGTCCTTTAATTCTCCTGTGTTCTGAAAATAATTCATGATACCCAAACCAAAAGAGCCAACATGTCTCCTAGTTAATCTTATTAAATGTAAATGTATCCGCATTCGCACGTTATGCCATTTTTATCAGGCGAGTTGGTTTGGCTATAACCACATTGGAGGTTAAGTCCAGAGTCGCCATGTTAGACTTTGAGAAATAAAAAATTACACTTGTCTGCGTACCAAGGCACACAGGGCAAAGAGAAAACGAACAGGGGAATAAATTGGCCAAGGAGAGTTCGATGGGGACTATATTGGCCCTGAACGCCCTGTGGCGCATCAAAAACGTGAATCCGTCAGACAAATCGATCAAAAATAAGTCCTTCTAATGGGAATGTAGCCCAAGAGGAACATGAGAACCATTTCATCAAAAGACCATAGCAGAAACTAACGGCAGAACTACTAAATCTAGGGCGTGTCAGGACGAGAATGATGAATTGCTGACTGGACAATGCAAACTCCGGAGGCATATAGACTCTGAACAGCAGAAACGCACTGTGCAGATATTGCTAGAAAGAAGAAGAAACACAAAACATGTCCTCTGTTGTAAAGATTCCTATTGGCAGAGAAAAACCCTAGGTCTAAAAAAAAAAACGAAAATCCTTAATAAAAGGTTACTACATCCACTACTGACAGACTAACAAGACTACTAAATCTAGAACGCGTTACGACTAAAATGATATGGCTGCTGACTGCACACTGCAGGCTCCAGAGCAGCAATAGCCTGCGGTGATATTTCTAAGAAGAAGAAGAAACAGCAGAACATGTCCTCTGTACGTGCGAAGGCTTACGAAGGCAGAGATTCCTATTCCTTGGAGAAGGAAAAGCCCGGGCCTGAAGAATACACACAAAGTCCTTGATAAATCTTTGGATCCGGTAAAAAGTTTGAAGCTTAATGAGGAGGTCTAGACAATAAGGGAAATATACAATGAACGTACTGGTCATAGATTCCAACTTCTTTTCCAATCTAATCTAACATAGGACACGGTCTATATGATCATCAGATCTGATGAGTCTTGCTTTACAAAATTTATCTATTTATTTAAAATTATATCTATATTACGTCTTGATACGAATCGTCCTGTTGTTTAAACACCGCAGGTTAAAACAGCCGTTACTCAACCACCCCAGGGCGTATCTTGTTATCTTGTAACGAGCTTCCTTCTATCAGAAAGCATGGAGTTCATCTGGTTAATGTTGCCATTTTCCGGTTATTGTTCTTAACATACAGATTTAGCCAACTAACCGAGACCGGCGTTTATGTAACTTTATATAACTTGAAAAGATGTGCAGCTACCGTTTGATGACCTGATAGGAAGGTGATCTCACTTGCTCATAACATTTTAGAGGAGGAAACTTTTAATTTGTTTATTCTTGTAAAAAAACATTGACGGGAAAACGTTTGACTGAACTAAACGGTTTTTAGACTAGGCTTTGGCAGTCCGAAAAAATAGGTGTAAACGTAAATTAGTTCAAAAGAAAATTGCATCATCTTACTTGGATTGTTGTGTTCTGGCTAGAATAGTACTAACTAATTGCTCTACAGGTCTGATGACCTTTGTTAGAAATTATTCAACTAGAGGGATCTAACTTACTCATCCTTATTCGCAGATTGGGTACAGACGGGAAGGAAAGTTTTACGGATTAGAGTGATATTGGGGCTTTGAGTGGGTTTTTTGTAGATGGATCTTGCAGGTTCTTTATAAAGGGAAAATTTAGGTCTTTATGGATGGTGCGGTTGGAAGCATCGAAAGGATTGATTCGTGATTGTAAGGTCAGGATTCTGCTGAGATTGTAAAGCCTGGCTGAATCTCATAGTGCTATGTTCATATTGGTTTCAGTGTTGAGTTATATATGAGGATTTTTTTAAATCTAAGTTTAGATTTGTTATCTAATAGTGTTTTTAAGAAATCGTTATCATTGGTTCAGTCCTTTTAAGCTTTTCTTACAACCCGAGGTAGCGCATGACATTCGTTAGGATGCGGATGAGGTTATAATAAATTGGTGGCAGAGCGAAGCGAGGGTGAAGGTTATGTTGTATATAAAGTGGTCGGAGTTTGAGGATAAAATGACAGTGTCATCAGTATGTCTGTATAGTGGTTTCGGGATGGGAGTGGATATTAGCAGTATACCTGAATACAGTAACGGGCCGAGGAGCTACCTTGAGGAGAATGATTCTCGAATGTATTGCCTCTTTCTTAAGCAGGTGCAGGTAGGAATTAAGGTTGAGGGAAAGTGTAAAAGTAACGATGACCTTGAATTTCCAAAGCGAACCCAGGAGCAGACTCCATCGAGGAAGACCTCTGCAGCATTCTTCTTTTCAAGGACGTTCACTACACGAAGAAGGATTATTGGGGAAGAAATCGGGAGGAAAGTTGTACATGGGTATTATAGTGAGGTCGAGGTTAGTCTGGAGGTTAGACGTATGGGGATACGAAATCGGTTGTCTAGATACAGCCCAACCCAAAGAAAGCTTTTTTTGGTTGGAAAGGGGGGCTAGGTTGGCCTATTGTGGATAAATATTGGACATTAGTCAATAATGGTATATGAACCTTTTCGTTGAGCTATAACGGGGTTGTGAGTGAACAGAATAGTAGTGTCATCAGTATGTAAGGATGAGCCATGTAGGACCTAAGGATGAAGTGTGTAGGTGAAAAAGGTGGGTAGAGGATAGGGTGCCCTTGAGTTCCCAAAGCATATCCAAGTGACTGTTCGACATCGGAAAAGCACCCCGAGCCTTCTCAAGGGAAGCGATGATGTCACCATGGCACTGTTCAACCGTGGTTTAGCATTAAATACAAATTGATGGTTTTGGTTAGATTATAAGATTCGAGGATGGAGGGGGGATTAATTCCTCTAGCTTGTCCTTGCAAAAATCAATCCACACTGATTCCAGATCTGATTGATTGATGCTTAAAGGAACCTGAACTGTTTTTATGCTAAGGTTAAACGATACGTTACAAGAAATATAATCCTTATTGTTGACAAACGAGCAGTGGACAAGAAAAAAATTTTTGTTCAATTTTGGATTTATAAATGTATGTATAATGTACATAAGTATAAATGATATCTGTATTTATATAAATTTTTGCTTACCTTGTAACCACGTTTTTGATTAGGGTTCAAATTGATCGGTCATCGGTCACCAGATTCGTAATTAGTTTTCTGTAAACAAAAATATATTTTAAAATAAAAATGCATTGTATGAAATAAATAAAATTTAAATAATATACAATATTTACTAACAGGGTAAGGTTATGTAATATTATTTGTATCTGTTTTGATTTTTTATGCTTATGTTCATGATCATTTCTTCAAACGGCACAGAGATATGTCCTCGATGTGTACCACTTAATTTCTTGGCTCCATATAGAGAGCGTGTAGGCCATCCGATATGGGAATCGTGCTGGCGCACGGCAACGGAAATCTCGGTCTTCTGTTCTGGTTTTTGGAGAAAACAGGGAAGTTTACTTGTGTACAGTACTTGATAAATATCTCATTTTGAGATTGAGTGAATTTATTAGCGCGAATTTATAGTGTGAGATGGTCGATGGCAGAAGATTGAGTACACCATAAATCCACAATTAGATTAGTTAAATAATAATGAAAAGGGTTAAAATAAAAGTTACTCAATGGTTCCCACTTAATTTAGGGATGTCTACCAAGACTTCATATAGAGAGCGTGTAGGCCAACCGAGAACTGTATATTAGTGAAAACGCAGAAGGCTAAGCTCATAACCTCAATGAGCAGGGCAAAATCCACCAATTCAGAATAATTTGTAAAATAATTTTAATAGGCATCCACGGTTGATGGATGTTATTATGTGAAAGTGGTTCTTGGGTATTGCAGCTAATAAAACACTTGCAGCTCTAAGACTTTTCAAGCCTACGAGATTTCTCAAAACTTATCTGGAACTAGTAAACTAGTTAGCCATACCACAATTGATTGAGTTTACATAACGAACATTGTCAAAACCGAGATGCTCGTAATAATCGGAGGCAAATATGACCAGACACCGGTCGAACTTAGTGCCATTCACCAAACGTTATAACTTTAAACATGCAAAACTAAGAAAAGTATTCCAAAGAAGTTTGAAGTCTGTAAATAGCTCTCGACCAAAGGTGGACCATGGGGAATGATAACATTAATAGAACCAAAGGCAGAGGCCTCCTTTGCACAATGGATACGCCAAAGAATCTCATTTAGAAACCAGAACCATCTATCCTAGTTATAGCCTAATTACTAGTGATAAATACGTGTGCATATGAAATAAATAACAAACAGCTTGCAACTATAAAAATATTTTCAGATAGCTAGGCAGCTTTGAAAGTTCTTTGAGCCTAGGAGATAAACGCAAAACTAGTCCGGAATTGCTGCAGTGTAGCTGAAGCTAGTATTCGATGTGAAGGATAAGAGAGGTCTCGAGGCCATCGTCGTATAAGGTCGACGGGGTAGCTGGGAAAGTGTAAATAGGGCTTTGGCGATTTGGTTAAAAAATTACAATATTTACTAACATGGTAAGGTTATGTAACATTATTAGTTTTCTGTTTTGATTTTGTTATGCTTATGTACATGATCATCTACTTCATGCACAGAGATAGGGTTCATTTCTTGGCTCCATATATAGCGCGTGTAGGGCACTTTTGAATCCGCTAGTTGACAAAAGGAATTTTAACGTCGTTGTAAGGTTAGTGACGTAGTAGGAGCTTTGACAGGTTATCCGGGGGCTTTTGATCGGATGATTTGCACTGGATATAGAATAACTTGGCATAACCTTTAAGTTCTAACCCGTATGACCTTAGTGGTGGCAGATATGTCTTGTATAGAGTTGTAATATTTTTGACGGTCAAGACAGATTTCGGCCATAAGACTTCTTAGTTGTTTTGCAAGTCTGGTATGGCTATTCCACGTCAGTCAAGGTACAGTCCTAACTAAGCTTGAGCGGAAGTCGGCAGCGACAGTTGGGGGCAAGACTGTCCTCCAGTTTTAGCACTTGTCTTTAATAAACTTGTGTTCTTGGATGTCGGGATTTGTTTGGATTCGGGTTAAAAGACAGAATTTTGATGTTAGATGGTACAATTCAGCAGTATAAAGGGATGGGACCAAGAAGGATTGTGGGACGCCAAGGATTGTTTTTATACCCAATCGTAGGTGCACCTCACTCAGTAGCAGAGGTAAACTAAATAGGATTAATAAAGGATACTTTTTTGAAGCTTTTGATTAAAGATTTTACGAAATGTATTAACGTTTTATGCGATGAGCAATTAAATAATGTGCCTTGGATATTTTCCACGAAAGCGGGTTGGACAATGAACAGGTTCCATAGATGTATCGAGGCGTTAATTGATCGCCTTTCTGCTGTCTCGCTTTCGGATCACGGTTCCCAGTTTGCTCCAGTCTCGCGTGTTTTAAAGAAATTTTCGCTCTCATTCATCCGCCTCTTCTCAAAACTTCACTCTCCTCCTTTAACCGTAGAAGACTTCTCACATGACATCATTCCAATGTGATCATGTCCTTCGACCAACTCTGTTCCTAAAAGCGAATTTCTCAAAAACTTGTCACAATGTACAACTGCCCAACAAAGCATGTTGCAATGAGACAATTTTAAGATATCGGTGTTTCATATAAGTTTAGTCCTATACAAAAGATAATTTCGGTTCGGTACAGGAAAACTGGCCATCGGTGTCATAATGGTAATTCGCGGTTAATAGTGTGATGATTTTCGTGCTAGGAAATTGGTATAATCAAGGTGATCATTTGATCATTTCTCATTTGGCTTAGAAAGGATCGCAATCATCAGAAATTTTCTCTTTCTTCATTAAAGACAAAATGGGAAAAATGGGACAATCGGTTTGCCTTCAATAACAGCAAATATGTTTGATAGTTTGCTTTTGAATTAATAAATACGTGCTTTTATGGGAAATCGGTCATTTCTCATAAACTGTAAATAATGTTTACAATTCCTTCTCCAAAACTATTCTAAAACTTCTATTAAATTATTTTCGAAGTTCGTTGTTAAAATCAGTTGTTTATCATTTATAAAAACGTAGACTTTTCAGCGTGAAAACGTGATTTTTTCGGAAGAAGCAAAGAAATTGGGCTAAATTAAGAAGTTTCTATGTAATTTAAAAAGCAATAATGAATTAGTAATAAAAAAAGGAAAAAAGAAATCAGTTAAATTCGCTCTTTCAAAGCTATGAAAGGTAACTTCAGTAATATTTAAGCTTAAAACTTTTAAAAATTGTACTAGGACCAAATAAGAAAAGCAGAAATGCTGAGACGAGAGGGCACCAAAAAAAGGACGAAAATCCAGCCTTAAAGTCAAAAGGAAGTTAGAGGATACAACGCGAGAAAACTAAAGATGGGAATACGAATAAATAATAAATAAAGCAATTTAGTTTTATTATTATTATTTCGATTATAAAAATCCTGCACCATAGTCTAAAGGAAGTTGGAGGATATGCACGAAAAATCTGAATTACAAACTCTACTCTGAGCGAATAAGAAAGGCAGAAATCCTTAGACGAGAAGGTCCCAAAAAAAAGGAGAAAATCGATCACCAAAGTCAAAAGGAAGTTGGAGGATAAACACGAAAAGCTGAATGAGGACGGGTGGTTCATAAAAAATTCTAATAAATAAAATGAATAGTTTTTTGATAGCAAATTTCTAGTTACCCTTGTCTCAAAATGGCAATTATGATCTACGACGATTTTATTATCCCTAAGAAATTTATAAATATTTTTAAAAAAATTATTTTTAAAAGAAAATAAGTTCAAAAAGAAAATGAAAATGGGGAAAATTTGAATACCTATTATACTCGCTCTTTCCAAATCTGTGAAAGCTAACTTGAGACATTTTTAAAAAATATTTCATAATATTTAAAAAAAATTTAAAAATATTTCCAGAGCTTCCATTCTTTTTTTTTTTCAAAATACTCTCAGATGGACAAAATCTTAAAAAAAATTTTTTTTTAATAAAACAAACTTAGAAACTTTACCAGTTTAGTCAACTCACCCGGAGGAATAATTAATCGACTCGAGCCCTGTGATTAGTTGTATTTATTACGTAGAAACTGCTCCGACCCGTTGTCTCAAAATGGCAATTATGAACTACGACGATAATAAAACGTATGAATAATTAGTGAAATCGGTCGCTTTGGTTTGTCCATACGCATAATTAACTCTCACTTCCGGGTTGACCGTTCCCAAACTGATATAACAGTATAATAAGTTATTAATTGGTTTAAAAACAACTTAAAATTGCTATTGTGTAATATATCTATTATTAACAGGTATGCCAACAAACATTCATCAAGAATGGCCTTCCTAGGTACCATAACTCAGCTATCGGAGTTGCATAAGACGTAGTCTGTATCATCTAGATTTAATTGATGTTGGTTCACCTTTTACGGATTTTAAACCCTTTCTGTTGAGTAGAATTTCCTCTTTATTCCGTTGGGTTGTTTTATCAGTCTTTTTCGCTTGCCTCAGTATTTGTATATGTTTAGTAACCCAAGATTCCAGTTCTTTTTAAATTTGGTCTTGTGTTCGGAGGGTTCATTTTTTTAGAAAATTTATTTTTCTGCGTCGTTGCCTGCAATTCTATCGTAACCTGGATTTCACCTTACAATATTCCTAGGTTCAAGTTTTGCAGGGTATTTAGACAGTTCCTGATTAGTTTTATGTCAATCTCGTACGCTTCGATATCCTTCAACTGACAGTATTTATATACTGCAATGGCAAGGTTGTAAAATTCCTCATTATAACAAAATCCAACGGTGTAAAGACAACTAACACCGAATCTCCGGAAAAGTCAAAAATAAATCTTTTCCGTTTCTGTTATTCAGCAAAATAATTCAAACAACTCTCAAATAATGTGACTAAGCAATAAATAATATCTTTCAATTAATTAATCTTTATGTAAGGTATTGGTTGAAAAAATAAAGCCAGTGTCACGAGCGGGATTCGAACCCACGACCTAAATATGCCGCTGCTCTACCTCTTAAGCTATCGTGACTTCGATCCACTCGGACACCAACCTTCCGAATTTTCCCTCCTTTTTGCCATTTTTTGCCATGCCATACCTTACATAAAGATGAATTAATTGAAAGAAGTTTTTTGGTCAATCGGACCAGGAAATATAATGGAATAAATGGTATTTTTTT